GAAAGCGAGAGCGAGAGCGAGAGCGAGAGCGAGAGCGAGAGAGGAGGGGGGCGGGCGGGTGAGGGCAAGATCAACGAGAGAGGGAGAGGCGGAAGCCTGCAGCCAATACTGCAAAATGATTCGATGATGCAAGAAACCCTACGTCAAGCTCGGGCACAGGGATGCAGTGAGCTCGTTGGAGTGCATGCGAAAGAACCTTTCTCGTGTCGCTCGTCGCGGCTGTTTCATTCTAGAACTTTAGATCCTGAAGCTGCAGGCAAGACACGGCATACCACCACGGCAAGGTGCATCCTACAACGGGCAATTCGGAGCCTGCACTGCTGGCCACGCACACTACTAGTTGCATTTCCCGTCGCTGCAGCTCCTGTGCCCAGTCGATGCAGGTCTCATCGGCTCCATCTTGCGAAGCTCCCTCGTCTCCTGGCAAGGCGAGATTCGAAACACCAAGGCAGCCCATGAAGGAGCACGGCCTGCGGCGAAGCAGCCAACACATTCAAAGTCAGTGTCATGCTCCACTTGGGCATCTGTGTCGTCACCTCCAGCTGAGGAGTGCCCTACCCGGCGCACTCCATCAAAGCTTTCCAGCTCAGGGACTCCCTTCAATCTCGTCCTCCACTTCATCGATTGACTTGCAGCCGTCCGTGCAGCCGATGAGACCACAGTGGCAGCGCCTGGCGAGAACTGGGAAACTTCACGGTCTCTTTGTGCTATCACCCGGGCACTGCGTCCCACAGAGCCTGAACCGTCTCGGTTTGAAGAGGTGCTCGCAAGCCAGATCGGGCAACGGGTCGCCAGCAGTCGAATTGCAAGTCAGATGCCGCTGCTGGAAAGCCAGATTAGGACGTGGAACTTTGAGAGACTCAGGGCAGATGCGAGTGCAGACCCCGAAGGCCGAAGCAACCCAGGAAGCTTGCTGCTCGAAAGCAGCGGTCAGGCTCGATTTTGAACGATACCTCACACTCGCTCGTGAGATGAAGCCTTCTTCGGTCTCCCGTTTCTGCACCGGCTAGAACGGTGTCTGGAGTTCATGAAAAGTGCCGGAAGTGCCGGAAAACCACACGCGCTCTACAACCTTTTCGCGGCCAAGTAACTGCATGAAGACACTCCCACTGCTTCTTGGACAGGTTGCAGACTGCGATGGGACAAGCAAATCTCCTGTCGAATGAGCTCAAGTCGTGACTGTCGTGACTCCCTTCAGGCACAGCCCTGGCCCTGGCCCTGGCCCTGGCCTGCCGCGAGTGGCAGTAGACGAATTACTAGGCAAGCGCTGGCCTCAGATGCAGGCACTTGGGCTCTTCACCCTGTCAAAAGCAGCTGGTGCTGGCCCAAGCCACTAGCCACATGCTGCAGCGCCGGATCGAGGATCTTTGTAAAGCGTGGCGGCGTAGGCCGTGCCTTGACACCGTTTTGAGTCCAAATGGCTGCGTTGGACCACCCGGAGGCCTACAACATGACGTGCTGCAAACGTCAGCAACATCTGCACAAGTCCTGTGTCCCTCCTTTTCGTCTAGATGTCATTCAATGCTCGGGTCCGTTTCCAGTCCTGCCAGGCTGAGTAGTTGTTGTGCCTTCGCATGATGTTGCCTCAGCCAGGCGACGACTTCCCAAGTACAAATGGTGTGCATAAAGAGGAAAACAACGTGCCCAAAGGTCCAGATTCCTCTATCCGACTCTCCCCAAACATCTATCTTTTCCCGACACGCCACAGCAGTTGGTGAAAGTCCGCCGTGTCATCTCCGCTCCAGTAAGGATCCTGACATGGTTCTGGCTTGAAGGGTTCAGGGCGGACGACGGGAATCCTCAGCGTTTGCTCTTCCCTCTGGCCAAGGTTCTCTCAGAGCTGATCCTCGGATCCAGGGCCATCGGGGCCACTGCGGGGATCGTTGGGAACGAGCGTCTGGAAGATCCCCTTTGCCTCCAAGTCTTTCCTCGAGCTGCAGTGCTTCTGAACATGAATCCGTTGCCAGAGTGCTCTGCAAGTCTGTCAACGACTCTGCCGTCTGAGGGCATGAGCAGCTGAAGGCCACCGCCCCCGAAGACAAACATCTGAATAGTCCCCAGGGTGTAGGCCCTCCTGGGCGGATGCTTCTTCGGCTCAGGATCCGTTCTTTGCCAAGACTTGGCCAAGATTCAAGAATTTCTTGCGCGAGATGGATCGACCCAGCTTGGAGTAGGCCGAGAGCAAGGCCGTGATCATGGCTTCCTGCCGATGGCACATCGATCCAAGGCTAGTGCCTGCATGCGCCGAAGCTGTCCTCGTTCTTGTCAAGGAATTCCGGCTCCAAAAAATGCCAGTTCCAAGCCCACTCTTGACCAATGTTGTTCATACAGCTTTGCTGCCAATCGAACCTCGCACGAACCGGCACTCGGTTTTAAACAGTTTGAAAGCTCTCCATGCACAGACAGCCACTCCACTTGCACCAGCGAAGGGAAGGGAATATCTGCTGCCGCAGCCTAGCGACAACCCCACTGACAGTCGTTTACCTCCATCCTCCTGCCAGTAGAATGCATTGTCGGTGGTGAGATCGTTGTGGCCAAACGCTGCCTCTCTTGCGCGCACACACACACACACACGTGCATAGCATCTTGAAGACTGCACTGTGGCTGCGTCGTCGTTTAACTAACAACAAGGACAGGAAAACACACCGCGAACTTCTTGCTGCAAAAACACCATGTCCTTTTCAAGCGATAGGCTTGTGAGGATGTCAGCCATGTCCCAGATCAGCTGCCACTCCTGACATCAGTCTGGGCTCTCTGAACGTTCTGATAGCATCTGTGACTGCAAACGATGGTCTTCCTTGAAAAGCTTCAACCACTCGTCCACTCGAAGCAAGGGCTCCCTGAGCTTAGCTGCAACGAAAATCTGAATCAGGATTCACATCTTGTCCTTTCCAACCAAGTCGGTGGGGCAGCTCCACGTCATCCACTCGGGGTTTAGGCGCTTGCCCTTCACCGTCTTCCGCACAGTGTACTTCAGGCCCATGCAACCACTGGCCATGCAAAGGAGCCACATCTGGCCTGATCTCCACTCCGCGAGGATCCACGAGGACGCGAAAGCCAACAACTGCCAGATTGCCAGATGCTGACCGGTTTCGGTGTGTGTCGTGAAAATGGGGAATCTGTTTCAGCGCAGCATTGCAGCTGTCGATCCAGGACCAAGAGCGTGCATGCAGTCTCGCACCCGTCTCTATGAACAGGAGCTGCTCCTGCAGAACACTGGCGAGTCACGACCCGCAGGGAAGAAACTGCGATGGCGATGTCCTCCATTGTTGCTGCATCCCGAATTCGATGCTTCAGAGGGAGAAGCTTCCCTCCAAAGTCTAAGACCTCCGTCAGCAGGCAGAACTCACCTGCCAGAGGTGCACTTCCTGGGCTCGGCGTGCCGAGTTACGGTGGCCTGTGGTGGAGTTGAAGTCAACGAAGTAGCCTCAGGTCAGCGAGTTTGACAAGAGGGTCGCCGGAGGCAACGGGACGAGAGTCTTCGGTGGAGGCTAGGGCTTGCTGTCATGTGGCACTTGGGAGTTCGGAGACAATCTTTGGTCTCGGGCGCTAAGTAATGATAGAAAAGTGCTTCGCACATGCACACGTCGGATGTCGCGACCAGCAGCCGCATGGCACCAAGTCTTTGCAGATTGCACTTTAAGAAAAAGTGGGTTGGCAGGTCGACGTTCGCAGAATAGGTGACTTCCAGAACAGCCTTGTCGCCCTTGACCCCATCGCGAACGTTCTTCTGCAGGTTTCGCACAGATGTCACAACCACGTCATGTGGCAGGTGCTGTCCGTGCTGAAGTATTTTGGTGAGCAGAGCCGCTCCAGAGGGTGACGTCAAGTCTTCCACCTCAGAATCCATGCCATGGCAAAAAAGGCATGGAGACAGCATCACTCTCTCCCAAACACAACCAACCGCCTTTGCCACAAACTGAGCCCGGGAGCACAAATGGGGAAAACAAGACCCGTCAGCTGTCCTCTGGCACGACGGCCTGCGAGAAGACTCACGACGGAAGTCTGTTACCTTGGCAGATTGAGACCAGCCTTTGCAGCACAGCATCCTCAGCAGCGTCATCGCGACAGCCAGCACCATCGTATCACGAAGCCACCAACATGCACTGCTGACCTCCAGGGCTGAAGCTTCTGTGCCTTCTTTGTGTTGAACAGATCGTTGAACAGTGGCAACTGCTAAGCGCTAACCCTTCGGATGAGTGGCCACAACAATGCAGAGGGTTACGGCACAGCCGGCTGAGCTCAATCCAGCTTCCATGACAATCACCGGCTGGCCAAGACATCAGCTGGAGTCCAGGACATGCAGGCACGATTCTGCGAAGATGTTGAAACTGCTACTTCGAGCACTTATCCCCACTAGATACTCACTTGTAAATTAAGCTCATCTCGCCAAGCGGTGTGTTCCGTCCTACTTACTGCTGATCCTGACCTGGGCCCGCATTGGCCAAAGCTCGAGGTGTTCAAGGCAGCCATGTGCCTGGTTGACTCTTCGAGCATGAGTGTGCAGGTGCGGAAGGCTCGAGATGAGATCCCCAAGCTGCTTCCCGAACATTGGATTTGCTTATTGCTGCAGCCGGCAAAGGCAGGGGACAGAGTCTGCCAGTGCATGCTGCACTCGATCACACCATGGGATTTGGTCGGCACAGGAAGTTCCACTAAGCGCGGAAAAGATCTGGGACTGACAAAATCTTTTGTAGACCACGCAGGCCATCAACGCACCATGTCAAGACAAAGTATCGCGCTGGTGCACTCGCATCAGCCTGCCAGATCCTGCGCGTTCTGGGAGAGCCCGTTTTCTCACTACCCGTGTCTTCCAAGATCTGCTTACATGGCCATGTAAGAATGTAGCATCGATCCCAAGCCAGCCTGGAAAATACCTGCAAGCAGAGCTCACATGCATCTTTGCTTTTTAAGGGGGGATCTACATGGAACACTGAAGCCTCCTGCCTGCGAGTTGCTGGCAATGACGGGATATCACCCACGAATCCAGGTTCGCGTCCGGCAGCGCTGCCGGAGAAGCGGCTTGAGCACGGGAAAGCCCTGCGGCCTACGAGTACACCTTTTGGTTCGCATTGGCTTTCTTGTGTACGAGGCACTTTGCAAAAGCCATTTGCTTCTTCCAGAAATCAGGAACCTCAGGCAGCAAGATCGTCGCAGCTCCCACAAATAGCGAGTGCCCAGCAGCCAACCGGCATCCAAGCTGAGCTGCTCCGGCAAGGGTGTTGTGGTCAGCATCCAGCACCACGAGCTCTCGTTGACTAGAGTGCACAGCTGCATCGTAGTGCCTCTGGGCATGTTCGAGAGGCACCTCGGTTTTGCAGGGAATCTCACACCAGGATGTGCATGTTCCGCTCTTGTGCTCAAGACCTGGGGCTCCAGCTATGAAGTCGTGCTCTCCGTGCAGCAACAACACAGGCCCCCGAAATGCTCGAAGAAAGTCCACACTTCCCAGGATCCGCAGATCTGCCTTCCCAGGTCTTCATCGCTGCATTCTTGGGGATTCCCTCCCAGGCCCCCTTCGTGAGATGGGCCTGCCCCGGCTTGCATCCGGGTGGTAACGATGCTCGCAGCGCCTTCGAAAGCTCCTGCGTCGCATGCTGCACGCATCTGTGAGAGGCAATAGCGATACTTCCGTGAATGTACACTCACCATTGCTCAATAACCGAGATGCAGTAGCTAACGCATTTGCATGTTCAATGTCCAATGCCATAAACCTGCTCTGTTCTGATTCATGCATTTCTCATGCAGGTGCTTTCCCATGCATGAGTGTTTTTGAGTTTTTTATACTCACATGTGTGCTTGTGGCAGCCACGGCTGCAAGAAGCATGTCCTTTAATACCTTCGCGAAAAAACGTTTACGCTCGGACCAGTCTGCGCGTCTGCTTGCCTGCCCCTCTATGTTCCATTCTGCGTGTGCCCGAATGTGTCCACCATCATTTTCATCGCAAGTCCTTGAACATGGTGGCCTGGGCACGCAGGCTCGGCTGGTCCCAATGTGCAACATGGACTTACAATCCCTCAGGCTTGCATTCAGGACACGGCTTGCTCGCGCGAGTCACCCAGCCATGTCAGCAGCTGATCATAGCGCTCATCTCCACTTGTTGCGAATCCAGAGTCGATAATCAGCCCATCGAACTTGTCCTTCGACGGCTCCGGCTGTTTGCAACACACCGACGCCGACTGACCCTCTTCTGTCAGGACCCACCGACTCGTTATGTCCTCCGTGCACCACGGCGCGTCTTTGTTCGGCAGTCTGCCCGTTGGTTTACAGGTTTCACTGACCTGCCGTTAAAGTATCGTCGTCATTTGCCCAGCAAGAACCCGAACCCGGACCAAGGCAACATGGTCAGGCCAAACCCTACGCTTGAAGAACAGGAAAGATGCAAACACATGCAAGCACGATCGTCACTATTTCTAGGACAGCATAGGCTGTGCGGCGAAGCGACTTCCAACTACAGTGCACCAGCCTTGCAAAACGGATCCAAGTCTCTGCCATCGTTCCGAGAAGATGTGTCGCCACGGCGCTGCCCAGCGAGCGCCCGAGCAGCAAAACCGGCGCTGGCCAGGGCCAGGCCAGGCCCTTCCTGCAGAGAGCGAAACTGAGGACACGGCGCGCCTCTCTCGGCTCTTCTCTCTTACTGGGTCAAGGACTCTTGGAGAATCTCCGGCAGCTTCTGCATGCATTGCTCCGCGTCGCTGAGCAAGTTGGCCATGGTCGGCATTCCCGATGACCTGACTTTCTCCAGGGCCGGCAAAGGCTTCCGGCATTTCTGGGTTCGGGGCTCAGCCACTCAGAAGCTGGCCAGCCATAGCCGCGGTAGTCGAAAATCAGCATGCCTGGAATCCCCAAGTCATCCATGCATTATCCAAAGGGCTTGGAGAAGATCATTGCGAAACAACCGTGAGTTCTGAGCCCTCTGCTACAAGGAAAGACTCGATAGATGTCTGCCCAGTCGGTGTAGTCTTCGCAAATTTCTCCATTACCGTGATATAGGATCAAAAGGGTGTTCTCAATTGCTCTTGGCTTCCGGTTCACGAGCAGGCGGTAACCAATTTCAGCAACATCCTCTCCTGTCCCCACACTGCAGCTTCCATCAAAGATTTGTATGTCTTCAGCTGCCCACTGGACACGATCATCAGGCTCCCACATGGACTTCCGAGGTCTTAGAATCCGTAGTTGACGTGCCTGCCTCTCTCTGCATAGACACCAGAGCTGGCTGAGGCCTTCCGCCATGGCTCTGCAAGCCTCGTGCCCCCGAAGGTCACCTGCGCTTGTCGAGTCACGGCCTGAAGCTTACACCTTCCTTTGCTAATCCCTTTCGGTGGCTCTGAGGCCTTACGGCGTTAGGGTCACGGGCAAGAGTCGAGTTACGAAGATCCTGGCCTGCGCAACACGAAAGATAGTAAAAACAGAAAGTGCTGCACTGGAAGCCCTGGGCCTAAGTCCACTCCCAAGCAGAACCGAAGGCAGAGCAGCGACAGAGATGACGGTCCTGATACGTGGCATATAGAACTTCATTTAAGACAGGGCATCTCAGCGGTAGTGACATGAAACTCTTGCCTTCATCCGCTTCCACGTTGGCTCCCTCGCTGAAATCAGCCAAAGCGTCCTGGTATCGCAGGTCTCTCCAGGCATCATGGCCTCGACGGACCTTGCAAGACTGCTTGTCAGCTCTTCACTCCTCTGTCAGTTTGCGTCTCATGCCAAGACGCAAAAAAGTTCGCCCGTGCAGACGCCTCATGGTCATTGAACAACGGCAGATCCCCGTGCCAACTCGATGAGCTTGGTGCACCACACTTGTCTCGCTTGTCGGGGGGGCTAAGGTGCTCCTTGATGCACACTGACTGCCTGGACGAAGCCGCAGACACGAAGATGAAAGATGGCTCTCTCTCAGCCTACGAAAATCGGAGTTGCGGGGCCTGAGCAAGACGATCGCTGGGTTCCTTGCCGCGGTCCGCTCTTGAAACTTGTCGAATCCTCCACAAGAAGGGGAAACTCAAAGCACCGCGGCTTTCACATGAGAATTTTTGCAGTCTGACCTACGAAATCAAACAATGGCCTGATCCTGCTCAGATCTTCGAAGAAGGGAGGTGTCCTGAAGCGGCTACATCGGCTCTAGCAGCCATTCCCTATCTAGATGCTCGATTCCACAAGCGCCCGCTCGATACGCACATCAGTGGCAGCAGAACAATCAAACCCAGCCATTCCCCATCTGGACGCTCGATTCCGCGTGAAACCATCGGATCGTTCACAAATAAAAGTGATTTTTCTGAAAGCGGTTTCCCGAGTGTGGACGCTCATCGACGTGTATTTCAACCCAGCGATGCGAGACAAAGCGACCACTTGTACGCATGAATGGCGGATACGACTTCAGCAGTTCGGAGTGCTGGTTTCGTGTTGCATACAACTTCAGAACCGCTCCATTCTTCCGAGGACAATCATAATCCCAGTCACTGCTGCCCAAACAAGCATATTTCCTTGCAAATGTAGTCGCTTTTCGAAACATGAGTATTCTGGGCATGCTTCTCCGCAACTACACGCTGATTGGGTCGACTTCTTGAAATGCTTCCCCGCTCTTGCTTGCTCGTTACATCTAGAAATGGTCAACTTTCCGGTTCCTGTCCACTTTCTAGTCATGCCTGATGCACCAAGATCTCGATCGCCACAACAACTATGGCGATACTGGCTTCCAATGGTGGAAAGTCTGGTTTCCCGGCCACCAGACAGCGGCTTATTCGGATAGTTCGCACCAAAGAAGACCATCAGAACACGGCAGCCTCCACATCTGAATCGCCAAAAAAGCTGAAAAGATCAGCTTCGCCGTGAATGAGCAAGGTTTTTATTCGTGCACATCCTGCTTGTCAGCGTGTCATCAGCTGCTCTCTTGATTTCCCGATATCTGTCAAGGATCCTTGAGGATATGAGCACTGCAAGTTATGCAAATTCGAAAAACAGCGCAAGCTTGATTGCCAATCCTGCACAGTTTTTATGTTCGCAATTCTTGCCTGCCCAGCTCGCATCGCTTTGCAAAGATCCAGTTGGTACGTGTGGAGGTTCATGTTCCACCAGAACGCTGCACTAGAGGACAAGCTATGATTTTTCATCTCAACTGCGTCTCCTCGGACACCATCGACCAGGTTAAGAAAATTCCGCTATATCGTGTCAAAGCTGCCATGGGTCGCAAGCCTGCCATCGCTTCAATTGCGTCACGCTGGCCGTCATGTAGCATTTACTGAGCCCATTACTGTCCTTAGGACATTGGAGCCGTTTTTTGCACGAGTTGCGCAGGAGGCAAGAGATTAAAAAAATCTGAATGCATTGTCTTCGCTTGCTCTTTTTTCTTCAAGTGAACAGTTTTCATCAAGTTCAACAGCGTTATTACACAATCGCCTTTATGGCTGGTTGTACAACCCTGTTACCAAGGGACAAGGCACTGAAGAATCATGATGGAGCTGTGGGGCAGTGGCCCACAAGAGTCCACTGCCAACAAAGCTACTTTTGGGTTTGGAAGATATCCAGGCTGATCACCTGGACGTACCTTCGTTGTGTGGCCAGGGGCTATAGTGGCTATCTGTCTTCGCCTCTGAAAGTAGGAAGTACATTGAGGAAGATGTCAATCAGAATCAGAGGGAGGATTGCACAAGTGTGGGTGGGGTCCGGGTCGGGGTCGGGGTAGTGGTGCGGGTGCGGGTGCGGGTCTGGGTGTGGGTGCGGGTGCGGGTGTG